CAAGGAGCAAAATAACCACCTGTTAGTATTCAGCTGTTACCTTGACAACCAGTAATTGGTATTAGTTGTTGTTTCATTTGTAAAGTTAACTGATTTTTTAACGGGCACTTTTATTAACTGCAGTAAGTTTAAATATATAATTGTGGGCATCTCACCACCGCTGGCATTATACATACAGATGGCTGAAAATGTCTCTGCAATTGCATTTTATGATTTTAATGAAAATATCCATTCATCAAGCAAATGTATTACATTTAACTTTCTGAGGGTTAGGGGTCTGAAAATAATTTCTTTTCTCATTTGTCATGTGTCTCTACCCCCACCAAGTGTTATCATCTTTCTCCCTCTCTATCTATCCATCTATTTGTATTTGTATTTTCAATTTTTCCTGTAAAACTGTATTTGCAGATTATACTGTATTTTAGGGAAATGGTATGAGCAGACATGCATATTAACAAACTAAGGAAAATTGTTTTAATAAGGTTATTTACAGTTTATGTTTCTGATGTTAATATAGACCTAAGAAATTTCCTTGCGGATCTAAGGCTTTGGATGAAAAGCCTTAAATTTTACACCACCATTGCAGGAAATAATTAGGGGGAGGGTGCATTCTTAATGCAGAAAAGCACATTATTAATATTAGGCAGAGTTTTTGGAAGTGATCCAAAGCCAAGATCAAAGACAGCAGTTGAGTAAATAGTTCGATGCAAGTGAGAAATAAGGACTGCTTCTGATGAGAATAATAGAAGAAAAGGTCAAGAGGTATTCTGGAAATAGTGTTATAAGATCTGATGCTCACTGAATATGTGGTGGTAAAAAGTAGGTGTGGGCAAGTCTATGGCTCTGAGTACAAAGAGGTGGCTTTACATACATTAACACAAATAGGACAATTTGGGTATTTGAATTGCAGTGAACATTTAGGTGTGGATCACCAGTGGACAGTAAGAAAAGAATGATAGGATTCCAGGGGGAAGTATGAATTGGAGAAACAAATTTGGAAGTCCTCAGCTACAAACTGCAAAGTGATAGCATGAGTGTGGATTATTGAAGAAGAGGGTTTGAAACTACAAGGACAGAATTGGTACAGACCCCTGGGGAGCATTAATATTTTAGAGGAATTAAAAGAGAAGCCATTCTATCAAATATTTAAAGAAATAATGTCATCAGTATCTCATAAAATCTTTCAGATAACAGAGAGGAAGAAACCACTTCTCAACTTATTTTATAATGATGGTAATTCCAAAGCTGGACAAAGATATTGTAAGAAAATTATAGGTCAGTATCATTCATAAACACAGAGGCTAAATTTCTTAACAAAATATCAGCAAAACAAATCCAGCAACATATAAAAAGGACTTTATACTATGACTAAGTAGAATTTATCTAAATAATTCAAGACTGGCTTATCACCAGATCATTAATTAATGAAATAAACCCTAATGGTACAATAAAGGACAGAACTACATTACCTCAGTAGAAATGGAAAAATCATCTGACGATATCTAACATTTATTTGTGTTAAAAGTAGGAATAAAAGGTAACCTTTTCGACCTGATAATGGGAAACTATAGAAAAACTACAGCTAAAATCATCCTTAATGATGAAAGAGTGAATGTTTTCCCTGGAAATTGAAAATAAGAGAAAGATATTCCCTTATTCTTTTACTCCTACTCAACATCAAACTGGAGGTTCTCCTGCACAATAGGAAAGAAAAAGAAACTAAATATTGGAAAGGAAAAAATGAAACTGTCTTTATTCGACTGTATACGTAGAAAGTCCTAAGAAACCCACAAAACCACTTCTATAGCTAATAAACAAGTTCAGCAAATTCACAGGCTATAAGAACAATGTACAAAATTTGTATAGACTAGTAATGAACAATACTAAAATGTCATTCAGAAGTCAACTCACGTTAGCATCAAAAGAGTAAAAATTTAGGAATAAACTTAGCAAAAAAGTACAAAACTTGTACGCTATTAACTGAGAAACATTGTTGAGAGACACTAAAGGTCTAAATAAATTGAGACCCAGTCCATGTTCATGGATCGGAAGATTCAATTGTTAAGAATGGCTATCTCCATAAAAACCCCAACAGATGTTTTACAGAAATTGGCATGGTAATCCTAAAATTTATGTTGAAGTGAAAAAGATGCAGAATAGCCACAACAATTTTTAAAGAAAATATGAAGATAGAGGACTTATGCTTCCTGGTTTTAAAATGTATTATGAAGCTACAGTAATCAAAACAGTTTGTGCTACTATCAACATAAACATTCAGATACATGAATAAAATTGTCAATTAAAATATTTATGTTCAGGTCAACTGATTTCCAACAAAGGAACAAGGGGACTCAATGAAAAAAACAGTCCTTTCCATGAATAGTGCTGGGACAGTTAGAAAACCATACCCACAAAGACACTTTTAGACACAACTGCATAAAATACACGTTTACTTAAAAATAACTCACAGGGGACTGTTGACCTAAAAGCAAAAGATAAAATTATAGAATCTTAGGGAAAACAAGAAAATCTTTAAAACCTCAATTAGGCAATGAGTTCCAAGACAGGACACCAGAATAATAATAATAATAATAAAGGTGATATGATGAATTAAATTTTCAAAATTATAAACACTTGACCTTCAAATTCTGCTATTAAGAAAATGAAAAGCCACAGACTTAGAGAAAATATTTGAAAATTAAATTTCCTATAAATGACTTATATATAGAACTCAATAATAAAAAGACAACAATCCATTTTACAAATGGGAAAGAGATTTAGGCAGTCATTTCACCAAAGAAGATATCTACATGGCCAATACACATGTGAAAAGATACACATCATTATTATTCATTAGGAAAATGCAAATTAAAATCATGATGAGATTCCATTTCATACCCACTAAAATTTTCTTTAAAAAAGGAAAAGAATTGGGGGGCATGTATGTAAATTAGAACTCCTGTATATTGCTGGTGGTGATGTAAAATGATTATCACCACTGTGGAAACAGTTTAGCAGTTTCTTAAAATATTAAATATAAGTTTCCCTTACAACTAATCAATTCTATACCCACGTATTTTCCCCAATAATTACATATACATATATATATACACACACACACATACAAATATATACATATATATATACACACACACACATATATATACAAATATATACATATATATATACACACACACATGCACATATATACATATCTATGTGGATGATCATATCACTATTATTCACATTAAACAAAATGAAAACAATCCACCAATTGCTAAACAGAAAAATTGTGGTATGTCCATTCATTGGAATACTATTTGGCATGAGAAGGAATAAACTATTGATACATGCTGCCACATGGCAAGCCTCAAAAAACATGTTAGGTGAAGAAGTCAGATTCAAGCAAGTGTACATTATATGATTCTGGATACAAAGACATTATACCATGAATGAACCTAATAAAAATTTAAACCATGACTATATGTAGTATGATTCTATGTATACAGAAACAGAAGGATTAAATTTCACCTGGGACTATGCTGGGCTGAAAGGAAGGAGGAGAGGAGTAGAGGCTTAGATCACAATGGAGCAGGGAGCAATCCTTGTAGGGATGGAAATATTCTAAACTGGGTTCTGTTGATAGTCCCACAATTTTGTGAATTTACAAAAGAATGTTCTATTGTACACATTATTTATTGTCTTACATGAAATTCAAAACAAGAGAGACAATAAAAGTTAAGGGAAAGGACTGTTTCTGTTTCTTCATATGTTCCAGAGGCAAATAGCTCTCAAAACAGAATTCTGTAAACGTGACTACTAGAGAAGTAATTTTAAAAGTATAAAGGGAAAGGCATTTCAGTAAGAAACAGCTGCAGGTGTGTATAACACATTGAAATATAATTAAAATAAAAAACACGTTTAACACGTGAAAGCAAAGAGATTAAGAAGTTTCTCATCATGGTATTTGTGAAATTGATGAAACTGGTTGATATACTTAATATGCTGTGTCATATTTAATTTTTAAAAACCCCCACAGGTGAGCTGAGTCTTTAAAAAGTCCACATGAGATATTTGTTTACAACTTAACTAAATGAAAATGATGCAAATTTCTTCTGGCTTTAGAAATTTACCAAACTGGAAACCATATTATGGTATATGTAGACCTCTTAACCATTGTATATTGTTAATGAGTTAATATGTTTAATTAATCTGTTCCTACAATTGGAAACTAAGATTGGATAATATGACCTATGACGAATATTTAAAGGAAGCCATTGGCATTTAATAGCATAAACAAATGGACAAGGGCAATGATTTTAAACTCCTTTAAGCTAAAGTTCAGATTTACAGGAACAAATGTTTTCTTTTTTCCATCTGAACCCACTGATAAGAAAGAGCCTGGTTGCCGTAAGTTGTGTGTGCATGTGTATGTTGCATTGTTTGTGCTGTATTTGATATTTGTGTGTGTGTGTGTGTGTGTGTGTGTGTTGTTTGTGTTGTGTATGTGTGTTGTGTGTATGGCAGGAACAGAGGGATGGTGGATAGGAGGAGGGCATGAGGGCTCCAAGAACTGGAAGGAGAAAATCCAGTACATATTGTTTCCTAATAGATTTGTCTGAAATGTCTTTGGTATATTTTCTTATACTGTTCTTCTCATCTCTTGCTCGTGTGAGAAGTATGAACTCATCAGAGGAAAAAAATCACTAAGAAAACCTGCAGAGACTCATTATGCAAAAGCCCTGCAGACTCGTGCTCCGTGGCCTCTCCTTCCAGTAGAATTAGGAGGGTGATTTTGCTCTTTTTTTTTTTTCTTTGGGCAGAAATTCTTTATTGGCTGTAATAAAATTGTAGATATTTGTCAGATCAGCAAATAACTGAATATTTAGAAATTTATTGCTACATTTTCTCAGCTTCAGGAAGAAAGGCATTTTTCCTTCAAATATGGCATTTCCTTTTGAATTTGACAGTATAGTGATTTTCATTCTTATTATTACAACATTATATTGTTAGTCATGTAAGGAGAAAAAGCAAAATAGATAAACACAATTTAATTAAATTGAATCCAATGGTAAAATATTTAAAAACCTTTATTTTATTATAGAATATGTTTCGTTTTTGTGAAGTTCTGATGCAATTCTGCACGTAGTGATTTTACCTTTTTACAATGCACTTAAATAGCATCTGTTTTCCGATCATATGATTTATAATTAAAGTACTTTTAAATACAGAAGGGAAGGTGACTTTGCCTAGACAGTTTCCAAAACTGTCTATATATTAGATTGGTTGCTAAAAACAGTATTTAACTGTGATATTAAAGGTAATAGAAACCATTACATGTAAATCAATACCCAGTAAATGGTTTTTAATCCATTGTTTTGATTTTTGTAATTCCCTCCATATTGTGCTTTCTGCTAAAATCATAAAGTATTAACTTACCTTTGAGACTTTGTTCTCTTTATTCAATATTACAAACTATTTATTCTACACATATGATAGTTGCAATTCTTTTTTATTTTTTTACTTTACATATCCTTTTACTATTCTACTTGCATATTTTATTGTTTGGATAATCAATGTGAAAAGACCTTTTGATTTTGCTATAATGCAAACGGATGTATATACATTGTTGTGGTCAGAACATTTAAAAAGAGCTCTACGCTCTTAACAAATTTTTAAGTCTACAATAGTGTATTGTTAATTATAGGCATGATGTACATGGGATCTCTACAACCTGTTCATCTTGCATAACTTGGATATTATCTTCTTTTTTTAATAAAAGTCAAATTTTATGCAAAGGGAATAAAATAAAATTCCTTCATGACTGACTATGCCTTTATATTTATTTATCTCATTTGATAAATTTGACATTACAATTGCAATTTTAAGGTACCTCGCATGTTGATATATACCTAATATGATTCCTACTGAGGTGACTTTATTATATTATATCATTATAGTACAGTATTGTTGACTGTATTCATTATACTATGCATTAGATCTCTGTGGCTTATTTGCTACTCTTAGAAGTTTGTTCCCTTAAGCGCAATCAATCTTATGCCCCCCATTCCCCATCCCCAGGTGACCATCATTTCACTCTGTTTTGTTGACAGGTTTGACACTTATATAGATTCATATAAGTGATATCACACGGTACTCATTTAGCATAATGTGCTCAAGGTCCATTCACGTTGTTGTAAATGGCAGGATATCTTAGTTTCTCATGGTTGAATAATTGTGTATATGTACTGTATCTTTTTATCCATTTATCCATTGATGGGTATGTGGGTTGTTTCCAGAGCTTGGCCATTGTGAATAATGCTACAGTAAATACGATTGTGTATATAGCTCATCAAAATCCTGTTTTCATTTCAAAGAGCTGCTTCTCTTGCATCAGATACTGTCAAAACGACGAGCATATTAGCTCTTACTCAGAACCTTCATTTGCAGCAGCTTTTTCAGAATGGTAGATGCAGGGCAAACTCCCAGTCTGCTCTGCTCTATAAACGCAAAGGCAAACAACACAAATCTAAAAAGAACTGCTCGAATCCAGCCCTCCATGTTAAACAGAACACTTCTGCTGAGGTGGCCGAAGTGTGGAGAATATGAGGAATTCATTTTGATCCACTGTAATAATTCTTCAATTTCTCCTAATTCTATACTTTTGGTCACGATACGGCTGGTGCTGTGACATCAGAATCTCTGGCTGCTGGGCATCCTCAGCGGATTTCCGTGTTGTGGGAGCAGGTGAGGTGCGGAAAACTGGGGGCACCTCTGGCCCGGTTCCTGCAAATAGTGGAAAAATGATTAGGATTATTCCAGAGAAACGAAATGAGAATAAAATGGGTTAAAAAAAAAAAAAGACTCAGAAAAATCAAACTGAACGTTAACTATTCATAAGGTTGATTAAAAGTAACACTAAAAAGAAGGTGATGGAAGGCTTGACTACTAACGTTCTAATGACTCACTATATAAAGATAAGGTGATCTGACTACCGCCCCCCCAACTAACCCTCCAGGATGTGATAGGAATTGACAGATTTGCTCAATTTACCCTAGCCTTAATGAATTTTTAAAAATATGTTATTATACAGAAAGGAATTTATAATCCGTCCAGTCAATGCCAATTAAAAATATGTGGAACAGAGGGGATGAATATGTCTCTGGGTGACAGGAGCCACTTGGCTCAACTGCCCAGCCAGGGACTCAATGCTGTTTATGCTGGTACGGGTGAGATGGCCTGAGGGTGGGAAAGAAACTTGGCTGCTAGACACTGGCGGCCATAGGATGTCACACTAAAGCCTGAAAATGAAGAGTCCACAGATAGTATAATTAAACTGGGGAGATATGATGAGCAACTGTAAACATAGAGGTAAAATCAAGCATGGCTTAAACAAGCAAATTAATTACCAGAAGTTCTGTATGGTTCTGTCATCCTGCCAGAATGTATTATTGGAGTGGATATGATGTTTGGAATGAAGACTCTTATCTTCCCCAAATTATTGGGTAAAGGTTGTCCTGCAAATCTGCTCTTCATTCTCTATTAATGAAGCATGTTGGATGGGAACTTTAAAGTTATCTAAGCCCACTCTAGTGGCTAATTTAAAACAATTAGAATAGACTGAGGTGGATAACTGAGGTGCATAAGGAAATGTTGATTTTAATGAAAAGTACTTTCAGATGCAGACACATTAGTACCCACAGATTCCTTGGTTAATGGAGTATGAGAAAAACTGATGAATCCTGAATATTTACTGTAGAGTATACAAAACTTAATAAATAATAACCCCCATGGTACAAGGTGTGCACAATGTGATATTAAATATTCAAACTGGGCAACAAGGGAGACTATAATTTTGTGATCAGTTTGGCTAATGGTTTCTTCTCCACTCCTGCTCATGAAGAAATTCAATCTGCATTAATGTGAGATGATTGGAAAACACATTCTACTGTGCTTTCCACAAAGATGTTTAAATCATTCTGTTATTGCCGCACCTGATGAGATAAACAGATGTGTATTTCTGTACATTTGATGCATGGAATTTACTCTTCTTAGACTGGAAGTTTGTACTCATTGACCAGTCCCATTTCCCCAAATGCCCTGCCCTGGTAATTATTATTCCACTCTCTGTTTCTGTGAGTTTGAACCACTTTAGATTACACATATAAGTGATATCATCCATTATTTGTTTTTCTCTGACTTTTTTCGCTTAGCATAATGCCCTCAAGGTCCATCCATGTTGTCACAAATGGCAGGATTTCCTTCTTTCTCATGGTTGAATAATATTTTATTTATTATTGTATATACGACATCTTCTTTATCCATTTATCCAATGACACTTAGGTTGTCTTTGTATCTTTACTGTTGTAAATAATGCTACAATGAACACAGGGGTGCATATATTTTTTCAAAGTATTGTTTTCTTTGGGTAAATATCCAGAAGGGGAATTCCTGGGTCATATGGTATTTCTATTTTTAATCTTTGGAGGAACCTCCACGCTGTTTTCCATAGTGGCTGCACTAATTTACATTCCCACTAACAATGTATGAGTTCTCATTTCACCACATCTTCACCAATACTTGTTATCTCTTGTCTTTTTTATATTAGCCATTCTAACAGATGTGAGGTGATATCTCAGTGTGGTTTTAATCTGCATTTCCCTAATGATTACTGATGTTGAGCATCGTTTCATGTACATGTTGGCCATCTGTACATCTTCTTTGGAAAAATGTCTGTTCAGTTCCTTTGCCCATTTTTTAAATTGGTTTGTGTTTTGCTATTGACTTGTGTGAGTTATATATCTTGGATATTAGAGATAAACTGACACTTGATTCAGTTAGAAATGACAGTTATTTACTATAGTTAGAAATGACAGTTATTACTAAGATAAAAATGAATTCCAAGTGCTTGTTAGTCATATGACCTCAGACGATGGCTGATTAACCCAACTTAAGTACAGGGATTAGCAAAGAATAGTGAATATCCAGATATTTCTCAGATAGGGATGACCAGGGCATTCCTCAGACAACCAAATATATGTTATTGTTTCTGCCAACTCCAAAATCAAAGCAAGTGAAAATGGATTAGGTTGTTTGGTTCCTATACAAATCATATACAACACCTGAGAAACTCACTGACATATATTTATGAAATTACCAAGACAAAAAAACTGAATTTGATCAAGGCGTTTGGGGGAACAGCAACTTCAAAGAACCATAGCACACAGTCAAACCCACAACCCTACTATCCTCTGCTCACTTTAGCTCAAGTGAATTCTCAAGGGTCCCTTAAAAGCTGACTGCAGCATTTGGAAAAAGCCCGTCCCTGCCACCCAGTGGTAACTCACGGTATTTTTGGACTGAAAAGTAACCTTAAGCTACTTCAAGAACACCATTTGAAAATAACTCAGCTAGCTATTGTTATTGCGGGCATTAACTGAAATTATTTCTATTACGAAGGACATACATTTATTTTGAGACTTGAGATACCCATCAGGGTGGGTTCTAAGATATCGTCATCCTACATAGAAGGGAAAGGAAAGAAGAATTCCCTCTTTAAATGAAAACTACATTCAAAAACAGGCAAGAAGGGGACCATCAGAGGTACTTACCACACAGGACAAGACGCTGCCCTCTCTCTGTGCCCTACATCTCCCTGTGCAGTTATGTAAGGATGCAACAATGAGCCCTTCTCTATGACATGTTAGCAAAGGGTACCAAACAAATAGACAGTCCTCAAAGATGAAAGACCAGCTCAACCTGCATCCAACCCAGAAAGTAACCTAGGAACTGCTGACGTGTTGATGGCATTACATTAACTAAAGACATAAAAGATTCATCTTCTCAGTGCACAGAACTGAGCAGTGTTCCTTGTGGCATCAGAGAATCCAGATAATAACAAAAGGGACTTTTGCCAATTCTTACGTAGTACCCAGTGGGGTTGCCATATGGTCCAGAAATGGGCCTGAGGCAACTAAAGAGGGGCGCTGTCTTGCAACATTTGTTATGGAATCAAAGGTGGGATCAAAAGGCAGCATTTCCAAAAACCCCCAAATGACTCCCAAAATAATCCTGGTAATGTATTACTGGTTAGTCAGGCTTGACTATGTAGCCAGAGAGACATAAAAGATCCCATCAGAAACTTTTGCAAACTCTCCCAAAGCAAGATGTACTGCACAAATGATAGTTTAATCTGGAAATGAATCACATCCCTGCAAATGAGAAGGACCTTAAAAGGCAGGCCCCTGTTGTTCGCCTGAACTCTCTTTCTCCCGCCGTGCAGTGTTCTTCGCTTTATAAAGCCTTACATGAGGATGCTCTGCAGAGTCTTGGGAGCCCCTTCAATTACCTGAGTCTCATTTTAAATCTACTCGATTCTCATCTATATTACGGGGCACTGTAATAATGCCTGCTTCATAGAGTTGTTTGAGAAATAAGTCAAATCATACAAATTGTTTAGAATAAAGCTGGCACACTGGATTCCTAAAAATATTACCTTTTATCCTTGAAATGATGGCATCATTACCATAATTACTGTATATTCTCCTAAGGTAAAGGATCTTACACACTTAGATACATATATTCTAGGATGTTTTTTAATTACTTCATAGTCACACATCATAAAGAAATTTCTTGTTTTACCAAAGACATGTTTCTTATTTTGATGGATAAGATTAGTATATGCATATGTTAAAAACATAGTATTTGTATATTACAGCATAAGTTTTATTTACTGATTTCAAATAAAGTTAAATCAAGTTTAGTCTCTACTTTGGCCGTATCTGTCCATAAGAACACATAAGAATCAGGTTAAACATATCAAGGATGAGTAAGAGGCGGCCTATGTTTTCATTTCGAAACAAAAGGTATTTAAAAAGGTAAGCATGATCCAGAAACGTTTGATATTGCCTTCTAGTGTACTTTGCTTCTAATATTAATCACAGATGAGATCAATTAAGCAGCACAAATATTTCTTCTCCTTTAATGATAATGATTCTCTGACTTCTAATCTTTGTGAAATATATGAAAATTATTATTCCAGGACAGTGAAATTTGTTTCAAATTAATACATATGACTAATATGCTAGAATCTAATTTTTAAAGTGATGAAAATAATTTTATAGTATGTTACTTTTTTCATTGACTTTTAATTAAATTTTTTCTATAAGAATTTGGAGATATTAGAAAAATAATTAAAAATGGGTTGTTTTTATTCATGATTTCTCTTGCCCCAAAATGGAAAGGGTCAGTGCAAATTTCCAATCCCAGTGAACCTTGAATGGACTTTATCAGAATATGTCCAAAGTGCAGAGATAAATAAAATTTTGACTTTGTTCAAAAAGATGGAGTGGACGGCAAGGCAGAAACTTCCTCCCACAAACAGACCAAAGTAGCAACTAAAGCAAATGCAACTAACCCTGAAAATGACCTTCAGACTTCAGAAGAGACCGTCTCCACTTGATGAGGAGGGGAAGGAAACGCCGAGAAGGGCAAAGCGGCACAACCATGAACCAAGCCCTTTCCCGGTCCCAGCCCGCACGCAGGAGGGACAGGAATGGACCGGGGAGGGGATAAGCACTAAGGAAGCCTGCGCACCTGGCCCTGGAGTCCTGCTCTGGGAACACGAGTCCACACTGCGCTGGGCTTGGGTGGTTCACGGGGCTTGGAGCGCTCTGCAAGGCTGGAGCCCCTGCTGCTTGGGGAGGACAGGCACGCCCCCTTGTTCCTGCTGAGACCCAACACAGACGCAGCAGTATGTAAGATGTACCAGCAGCTGGGGGTGCGCC